CTGAAATGCTTTGCACTGTCATCTTCCAGTTTTGTCAGCGTCATGAAGTGAGCTCTACTTGCGATTCTGGGTAAGGTGTCCTGGGAAGGGGCTTGGTCCCGTGCCACGTTGAGCTATGTTGCAACATGGAGGCTGCTGGGACTGGAATGGAGACAGTTGTCCTCAAAGGGATATGTCAAAGCTAAACTGGCCTTCTGGGAGGGTGACAGCATGGGCAGGTCCCCACGACCCCGCCTCTCCTCCCCCGAGTCATCCCTGTTGACCCCGCCTCTCCTCCCCGAGTCAGCCCTGTTGTCCCCGCCTCTCCTCCCCGAGTCAGCCCTGTTGTCCCCGCCTCTCCTCCCGGAGTCAGCCCTGTTGACCCCGCCTCTCCTCCCCCGAGTCATCCTGGCCTCTCCTCCCGGAGTCATCCCTGTTGTCCCCGCCTCTCCTCCCCCGAGTCAGCCCTGTTGTCCCCGCCTCTCCCCTTTGCTCACAACTCTAGTAGCATCTGTCTGAATTCCTAAGCAAGACCAAATAATTAAACAGCCCGAGAGTTCGGCAGATTGGTCTCCCCTTTGGGAAAATACAAGAAAATCAACAATTAACACTAATTAATCTCCTATTAACACCAGATAATTAGGAGACGAGCAATTCCCTGTAATCTGACTGTGGTTCTGACAGCTAATGATTTCCCCGCCAGGCGGGGGCAGGAAGGACCTGGTACAGCAGCAGACAGACATCCCCAGATCCCGCCTCTGCCCCTACACCTGCCCCCACCAGCCTGCTCCAGCCCTTAGCCGTCTCAGGGAAAAGGGTGACTGGTGGAGTAAAGGACACCATTGGTCCCTTTCTCACAATCTACAGCCCCTATAGCCTGGGCTAGAGGCCCATCCCTCCCAGCGAGCATGACCCTGAGACTGTCCTGTGACACACCAGCCCCAGCGTTTCTCCACAAGGCTGATGCCTTAATGCTGAAGGCCTGAATGGGGCTCTGACTTTGTCACTTGCTTGTGTGGCTGTAGGGAAGTCGCTGCAAGTCATAAGCTTCCAAGCTCTTAGCATGGCCTAACCTCTGCTGAAGGGGGTGGAAAGTTATCATAGCACAGAGAGGGCCAGTGGCTACCAGACAGTGCACACTGGGGTGCTCAGCCCCCCCACTGCCGAGAAGAGTAGGCTCCAATGCAGGGCACACTGTGAGCAAGTTGTTTCCTCTTCCTGTGGCTGTTTCCTCATCTTTAAAAAAAAAAAGGAGGGGGGTGTCCCTACATCCTAGAGTTAGTGTAGGAAATATGGTTCACAGGTGTTACCTTAGAAGAGGGTGTGACCTATGCATGGTGCTCAGGGTGAGTTGGCTGGTGTTCTAGGATGAGATGGATGCATGAGAAAGCTGTCCAAGCAGTCAGGAATCACACCAATATACAGAGTGATGAGGCAAGGGAGAGGGCAAGACTAGCAGGCATAACCTCAGGGAGGGCTGGAGGACTGCCTGGGCTTCCTGGAGGTGGGACTTGGCACAGGGACTCCTTAGAGAGAGGCAGGCAACAGAGCAGTGGTGATGTAATATCACGTCCTGGGCAGGCTAGGCTGAGATGGCTGTGATAGGCACTGCCCAGAGATGGGACAGGAAATGGAGGCCCTGGGCCCATAAAATGCTGCCTCCAGGATCCCCTGTGCCTAAAAAAGGTCCCTCCACCTGTCTCCACTACTCACTGGTGCTCTCGTGGGAAGCAGGGTTTCCAGGTTCCTGGTGTATGCAGTGGTGTCTAAGATGGGGGAGCTGCAGGTTATGAGTGTGGGGATTAGAGGCATATGACACCAAGTCTGATTTTTTTTAACTTAAAACACTTTAATCTGTATGAGTATTTTGCCTGCATGTTTGGTGTCTACAGAAGCCAGATGCGGGTGTTGGATTCCTTGGAACTGTAGTTACAATGGTTGTGAGATGCCATGTGGACGCTCGGTCCTCTTCAAGAACAGCAAGTGCTCTCAACCGCGGAGGCATCTCTCCAGTGAAGTCTTCCCTTCTTATGAGAAGGGTCTCCTTGTAGCCCAGACAGAATTCAAATTCTCTATGTAGCCAAAGATGACCTTGAACTTCTTTTTTTTTTTTTTTAAGGTTTATTTATTTATTTATCGTGTATACAGTGTGTGCCAGAAGAGGGCACCAGAGCTCATTACAGATGGTTGTGAGCCGCCATGTGGTTGCTGGGAATTGAACTCAGAACCTCTGGAAAAAGTCAGTGCTCTTAACCCCTGAGCCAACTCTCCAGCTCCCCAACCTTGAACTTCTGATCCTTCTGCCTCCAGCTCCCCAGTGCCAGGATGACTGGCCTGCACCCCAACCAAGTTTATTTGGTACTTACAGTTGAATCAAAGACTTGGTGTATACAAGACAAGCCCTGAACCACTTGAGCTGTATCCCCAGTACTAGTTTTCATCTGCTCAGGAGCCCACAACCAGGCCAAGGGCTACTTTTTAGTCAGCCGAAAAATCAAGGACAGAGCCCAGGAGAGGCAAGTGGAAGAGCAGGGCAGCATAGTAGTTGGTAGCCAAGAGCCCACCTCGTGCTAGGCATCCCTGCTGGCACTGAAATCTGGCTAAGCTTCATAACTTTTTTGGTTTTTTGTTGTTGTTTTTTCGAGTAGGGTTGCTCTGTGTAGCTTTGGAGCCTGTCCTTGAACTCACTCTGTAGACCAGGCAGGCCTCGAACTCACAGAGATCCGCCTGCCTCTCTCTCTACTTCCCAAGTGCTGGGATTAAAGGCATGGGCCACTACCACCCAGATGGTGCCTCAGTTTCCCTCACTTATAAATTGGGGACAATGACAGTCTATATCTTGTAGAAATGAGGATTGGGGGGTCCCTGCCTGCAAAGTGATAGGAAAGGAATCTGGCACAAGCCATGTGGACACTAGAAACACAGTTGCTGGTTTTCTAGCGCTGCTTCAACAAAGTACCATACTGGGTGACTTACAACAGCTTGCAACTCCAGTTCCGTGGGATCTGAGCCCTTTCTCTAGCCTCTGCAGGCACACACAAACTAGCATACACACAGAGACATATAAGACAAATAATAAATAATTTAATAAAATTTTTCCAAGCGTGGTGGCACACATCTTTAAAACCAGCACTTGGGAGGCAAAGGCAGGTTGTCTCTGTGAGTCTGAGGTCAGCCTGCATACATAACAAGTTTGATGTGAGCCATGGCTGTATAGTGAGGCCCTGTCTCAATCAGTAAATAAAGAGGGTCTGGAAAGATGGCTCCGCAGTTAAAAACACTTGCTGATCTTTTAAGGGGCCTGGGTTTGAGTCCCAGCATCCGCATGACAGCTCACAACCATCTCTAATTCCAGTTTCAGGGGATCGAATGCTCTCTTCTGGCCTCCACAGGCAGTGCACATATGTGGTGCACACACATATATATATATATACATATATATATGTATATATAGCCAAAACATACATATACATAAATATAAATAAAAATCTTTAAAATTAAATAAGCAAATAAAAATAGAATCAAGCAAATAAGACCTCATTTTCAAATGAGATCACATACAGATCAGCTGTTAGAACTTCAGTATAAATATTTGGGGGAGAAAGTTGACTCTACAACTGTCATGGAATCATCTACATGGCCGGATAGGATTCCCTAATGAATCTCTTTCTTGCAGGTGCTAGAGCGCTGGTGCATGTCCCCAAGGACCATCGAGGTCCTGATGAACACCTACTGTGTGGTACAGCTGCCTGAGGAGGCCAAGGGCTTGGTACCACCTGAAATTGTACAGGTCAGTGTCCAGGACCTGGAACACATCACTCAGCTTGGCCCTGAGAAACACCATTCCCTAAGGGGCAGCCTTGTCAGTCTTCCATAGAAATTAGCCAGCAGCCCACTCATGTCCTAGAAAAATATGCCTTCTGGGGTGATTTCCGAGGGTTTTTTATGAGGTTCTTGGAGATGCTTCCGGTGGTCACCATGCCGTCCCTTTAGAAGAGGTGGGAGCTGGTTTCCAAGGCTGTCCTCACTGAGTCCCTCCTCCTGTCTCCAGAAGCACCAGGGATTCTACTCTTCCCTCTTTGCTTTGGTGAGGCAGCCCAGGTCGCTGCAGCATCTTAGCCGCTGTGCACTCCGCTGTCACCTGGAGGGCAGTCTGCCCCTCGCCCTGCCACGGCTGCCCCTGCCATCCGGCCTCCTCCGTTACCTTCAGCTGGAGTTTGAGGATGTGCTTTACTAGGTGAGCCCTGGCTTCTGGGGACAGCCATCATGCTTGGGGACAGCAAAGGAGTTGGAGGATGATTCTGGGCTGAAGCAGCTGTTCCTGGGGCCACTGGAGTTGATTCCGTGTGTCTCTTTCAGGTGTGCAGTGCTGTGGGAATGAAGCAGACTCCACAAGAGGCACTTTTGCAGTGACTCCGGCCGGGTCATCCTGTCAGCACCAGGTCCGTCTTCAAGTTGGGAACAGATGCCTTGATCCACACTTGAGAGAAAAAAACAGATGAGCATCCAGCTGATACCGATGCAAACCTGTGTGGAAATCTCCATGCTGAAGCCCAGAATAATGGTGCAGATGCTATCTTAGCCCTTGGGAAGTAGAGGCAGTAGGTGGAGGTAGTGGCCAGATTGTGCTACTTGGTGAGACTTTGCCAAAAAAAAAAAAAAAAAAAAAAAAAGGAGCCGGGCATTGGTGGCTCACGCCTTTAATCTCAGCACTCGGGAGGCAGAGGCAGGTGGATTTCTTGTGAGTTTGAGACCAGCCTGGTCTACAAGAGCTAGTTCCAGGACAGCCTCCAAAGCCACAGAGAAACCCTGTTTCAAAAAAAACAAAAAACAAAAACAAAAAGAGGGTCTACAAGTTATGTGATTTGATACTATCTCCAACAAGCCTCCGCCTTCCTTGAGGTGACTCCCTTACATAGAATCAGGATGGGTTGCCTCACCTCTTAGTACCCGCAAGCAGGTCCCAGGCCAACCTGCCCCTGTCCTCACGTGAGACAGCAAATAGCCTCCAGAGTGAGCGCATGTCAGAGTAGGTGTCCTGAAGGTTGGAGCAAGGCAGAGGTGGGAGCAATGGGAAGCCGGTGGCCAAGGGCTGGGAGAGATGAGAACCTGGAAATGGTCTCAACATATGTGGGAGAGAGAGTAACCATGGCTCGGCTACTCTCTGAGCACCACTGGCCCAGGGTTAGGAAAACAACCATCTTTACCCACTGCCCACCCATGTAGGTCAGCAAGCATCACCCAGGGCACACCTGGCTCTTGTTCCTTTTACTCTGCTTCTTCATTTTTTATTCTGTGTAAGCGTGTTTTACCTGAGTATGTGTGTGTGCATAGTGTACATGCCTGGTGCCCTTGGAGACCAGAAGAGGAAGATGCCCTAGAACTTGAGTTACAGATGTTTGTGAGTGGCCATGTGGGTGCTGGGAACTGAACCCAGGTTCTTAGGAAGAGCAGCCAGTGCTCTTTTCTGCTGAGCCTTTTTTTTTTTTTTTTAAACAGAGCTTTTCTATGTAGCTCTGGCTGTCCTGGAACTCACTTTATATACCAGGCTGGCCTTGAACTTACAGAGATCCACCTGCCTCTGCCTCTACCAGCATTAATCCGATTCTTTAAACATAGCTTTGTGGTAGCAAGAGTGTCACCAGAGCTGGGTTCTACTCTCTCAAGTATCATTAGCTTGTGGAACAAAAATCTCTTCCCCTGGACTCGTGTCTTCTTCTGTAAAACTATAGGCCTGTGGTGCCGCTGCTCACACTGCAGTACCAGGACCCTCCCTACAAACTGGAGCTGCAGCAGCCAGCAGTGGGTGGGGCAACCCGGCTGCAGAGCACCAGATATCAAGGGTCACTGGACAGAATTCTCAGGCTTGAGAGCACTTTCCCAGCCAGCATGTAGCCAGACTACGTGGGGAGGGATCTGGTGGAGGGGCCCGAAGGCTGTAGAGGTGGGTGGACTGGTCTCAGAGCCCGGGCCTTACCTCAGACTGACCCTCCAGCCTGGATTTTGGGTGTGAGCACCTGGCTAGAGGACTGACAAGTGGCATCTGCTATGATTAAGAGGGTCCAGGATTTGTTTGCACCCTCAGCCATGGAAATGCCTGGCTGTCTGGTACCCTGCAGGCTTGTACTTTGCAAGGATAATGGTTGGGACCAGAAGATGATTTCCAAGTGTTGACAGGGAACCTACTACAGAAGGTCCTTTGCCATCTTGCAGGAACCTCTCTGGGAGACCCTCTGTCATCCCTGAGATGAGGGGTCCTGGATAATGTCCTGAGTTCATTTGTTTGCCTGTAACTGCTGTGCCTCCTGTGTTCTAGCCTAGGCAGGCACAAAGCTGCAGGGGACACCAGGGCTAGCCCCACTACTCTGCTGGAAACACTAGGCAAACAAGAGAAAGTTGCACATAGTACTAAGTATAGAGACGGTGCAAACAGTGATGTGACAGCAATAGGGAGTCATTTTGGATTCAGTGACAGGGAAACCTACTTTTTGAGAAGGTTGGCATTTAACCTGAGATCAGAATGACAGGGAGGAGCCAGCCTGTGAGCAGAGTGTGGAGGGAAGCAGAAGAGTAACTGGGTCAATGTCCCTCAGGTTGCCTGGCTATGAGCAGCTGGTTTGAGTGGGGGAAGCCTACAGAATCCAGAAGGCCAATTGGAGGCCACAGCAGTCACCCTGGGATGATGGGTGGATAGCAATGGAGTAGCTTTGGAAGTCTTGGGGGGGGGTGTATAGTGCTTGCTGACAGACTAAATGTTGGGTTCACCCAGTGTGCATCACAGTTTTGTTTTGGCTTGAACAACTAGGTGGGTGGTGATTACTAAGGCAAGGGAGGTAGAAAGGTCTGTGCTAGCCAGATTTACCTGTTAGACATCTCAGAGAAGATGTGAGGTCTTGTTGCCCAGGGGACAACGGTCTGTTCGGTTCTATTTAACCCCTTCCACACCCTGCTTGGGTTAAGGTGATAAATAGAAGGCTCTGAGACATGGCCCTGCCCTCAGAGAATTATCGATACCATCACACCACGCTCACAGGACGCATGTGAACTAAAATACAAAGAGCAAGGTGTGAAGGGTGAGTGATTGAGAAGGCCCCACGAAGGGGTTGGGGCATCAGAAGTTCTTGTGCTGTGCCTGGGAAGTACAGGGTGTGGGACTCCTTTGCAAGGAGCCAAGAAGGGACGACAAGAAAGGTGGTGTGGAGTGGCTGGCATGCCTTGTCTCTTAATGAAGCAGCCGAGTTGGGAAGGCCCTTTCTGGGGTTAGACATCCAGACACTTGCAAACCAGGGAGCTTCCTCCCCAGCCTCCTGGCTGATGGTCCCGCAGGCCCAGAACCTCTCCCTGGTAATTGCTTTCCATAATGTGTTTGCTCCAAACCAATTTCACGCCTCCGTGAGGACTCCGCCCTGCACGGGAGGCATGGACCTCCCTACCACCAACCTATCCGCCTGTGAACGGGTGGGCTCACACATACCACACATTCAACATAACAGATACACAGAATTCAAGAGCCCTGACACAATAAAGATGCACAAACCTTCATGCATGTACACTAGAGTTCAAGATACTCGTGTACATTTCCCACGAACCGCGCACTCACTGTGGAATAAGATGCGCTCTGAAGCTTGAACCTCTTGCCTGGCTCTAGTCCCTTTGCCCTCGGCGCCTCTCTTGACTAACGCCAGGGGGCGCTGCGGCACCCCGCGCCTCCCTCGCGATGACTGTAGTTTCGTCCTAGTGCCACCAGAGGGTACTCGCGGGCAGAATCCGACGAGGCCCACAGTGGGAGGCTCTCGCTCCCGCCTGAGTGAGTCAGAGATATGGACCTGTTGGCTTTGGCTTTAGAACACTTTGCTCATTTTTGTGTCTTGGGTGCAATTGCCAGCACATGAATGAGAGGCCAGAAGATGAGACCTGACATAGACCAAGCAGAGAGGGTAATAGCAAATTATTTATCCACTTGTAGAGGAGCATGGAATCTCTGTGAGTTTGGGTGCAGTCTGGTCTACATAGCAAGAACTACGTCAGCCAGGCCACATAAGTCCTGTTTTGCTTTTTTTTTTTTTTTTTTTTTTTTTTTTTTTTTTTTTTTCTGTTTGTTTGTTTGCTTGCTTGTTTGAGACAGGGTTTCACTGTGAAGCCCTGGCTGTCCTGGAACTTACTTTGTAGACCAGGCTGGCCTCAAATTTATAGAGATCCACCTGCCTCTGCCTATAGGATTAAAGTTGTATGCCAATCCCCCACCTCCACGCATGCCCTGTTTTTAAAAACCTAATAAGTAAATAATCATATTTGAGACCATATTTCCAACAAACAAAGGAAAACAAGCAAAAAACAAATTCCTGTTCAGGAACATTTCCCAGAGCTATGTACGGTGAGAGCCGGTCAACTCACAATACATGCACAGCTCCATTTTTTTTAGATTTATTTCTATGTATGTGAGTGTTTTGCCTACATAAACATATGTGCCCCACATGGGTGCCTGGTTCCCAGGGAGGTCAGAAGAGGCAGTCAGATTCTCCAATACTAAATACCCAAGGTTGAGAGCTGCCATGTGGGTGTTGGGAACAGAACCCATGTCCTCTGAAAGAGCAGCCAGTGCTCTTTAAGGCCTGACTTAGCTCCATGGTTCCATTTTAGGAAAGACCAGGTACTAGATGTTCAGGGGTTCAGTAACAAGGTCCCCATTTTCTACTGGTAAAGAGCCAACTTTGTTCAAATTTGATGGTTTGATGGCACCAGCATCTGTCCTTGGTCCTAAAGTGCTGCAGAATGGGAAGGTGAGTCCCGTCTCTCTTGGGCAGGGATGCTCTTCCTATGTTCCCTGCTGGAAGAACTCTTTCTGGAAGACACAGCCTCCTGCCCATGGAATCCTTGCTTTTTCAGCCGTCAGAGTAGATGATATGCTCCCTTTCAAACAGAGAAATTAAGTTGGAGGTGCCAAGGCCACATGGTTCAGGGGGGAGTAGAACTTGCTTCCAAGTTTTTTCTTTTTGTTTATCTCCAGCAATGCTTCCCCATTTACTGCGCAGTCCAGTTCCACCCTGAGTGCAAGGGCAGGGATAGAAGTTGCCTGCAGCAGTCATCCCTAAGCATGTGACACTAACATCCTGACCAGAGCAGTCACTCTGCATGACCCCAGCAGGGCAAGGGACTGATTGAAGATATAAATGGGTTACAGCGCTCAGTATATGCCAGGTCAATACAAAGTGCCCAGGTGTCACTTAGCTCATCACTTCTGAGTAGGTTGCCTACTGGGATTCATTGGTACCAAAATATAAACCTCCACCTCTTTGCCAGTTTGAGTGGGGAGTCTACTGCTCTGAGGATAAGTGCTGGACAATAAGCTCTTGGCTTGAGATAGGTGACATACATTTTTGAGACCAGAAGGTCTTTACCCTCGAGTCCTCGAGAGTGTGCAATCCATTCTGTGGCACAGAGAATGGCAGGCTTGTTGAGGTGTGCATTTACTGTTACAGGAGCTTTGGAACAGATATTTCAACATATGTCCTTTTGAGCTTTTGAAATTTTGTTCTATGTGATGTTATTACCTATGCAAAAAATGAATGCAATTACTTTTAAAAATGGCTCTTCTCCGTGTGTTATTTGATTGGTGTGGAAACTGCTCATACGGCTTTAATTGCAGTAATTGTAGCTCAAAGTTCCCTCCATAATTCATCAAGTCAATAAGCCTCTATTATGTATCCAACACTGTAAAGCCATCAAAGCAAGTACTTGACCTCTCCCTTCTTAAGTACAATATGTTTTTGAAACCGGTCTTCATTATCAGTACCATGGAGGGCTTGGTTAACGTAAAAAGAGTTGTTTGGAAGACTGTCTGTAGTCAACGGTGTATTCTACTACTTTATGGTGAGTTGGGGGTTCCGAGTCCTAAGCCAAACACCTTTTCTTCCCTGAGGTGGCATCTTCTCGCGAGTCTTGGCTCTTGTTTTCACTGGGTGAATTAGAACGCAAAGTGTATCAGGACTGCATAGAAACGACGCCATCTTCCATTCGTTTCTCTGGTGAATTCTGAAGATGTGACCTCCCTCCCCCTCCTCCTACTCCTAGGGCCTCACTGTAGCTCTGGCTGACCTGGCCTTTGGTTCAGGCTGGTCTAGAACTCAGTGTATAGCTGAAGATGACCTTGACCTCCTGCTCTACTTCCCAGGCTGAGACTATCACAACCAACCCCCCTACCTGTCTCATTTCATCCTGCCCTCTTGCTGGGTGCTACCCAAGGCACTTAGAGTTCCGAAGCCTAACAATAGCCCCGCTCACTAGCTAATGCAGCATTGCTGCCTGGGACAGAAGTCACTGAGACCCAGCAGGCTGCCTGCCCTCCTCTGCCCTCTGTGGCAGCTCTATGGCTGTGTGGTAGGTTTTCCTCTTTACCTGAGTAGGATCACTAGCACTCCTACACGGCATCTTATTGAACTTGTCTGTCTTTCCTATTGTTCCTTCTGACTACCAGGCTCTTCCTGAGCCACCTGAAGAGTTTCCTAGTCCAAAGGCTGCACTTTTTGTTGACCAGGCTTCCTCTGCAACCTCAAGTTTGGGCCACTCTTCTTGGTCTCGTTCTCACTCACTGACCTGAGGTGCTTAGGCAGCCAAAAGCCCGTGACTTCTGCCTCTAGAACGACAGATCTGCTCTGGGAATCAGAGGAGGGGGACAGTAAAGGCGGAATGGGGGAGGTGAGCAGAGTCATCTGCAATTAGCAGATAATTAGCGCTGGTGACCCTTGGGGCTCATCAGCGCTCCTAGGGCCAGCCCCCAGCAATCAGCCAGGGCAGGTCGAGAGTGTCAGGCCTGAGAATGAATAGGGCTCATCAGACGCGCTGGAGCCAGGGAGCCAATCAGGGAAATTAATGGGGAGAGATGAAGAGAGAGAGAGAGAGAGAGAGAGAGAGAGAGAGAGA